TGGACATTCAGGACAGGTGTCCATGGTGGGTGTCCCCAGAGAGCGCCCATGGGGAGTGTCCTCCACGGGTGTCCAGGGCAGGCACGTGGGCTACAGCAGCTGGGCTGCATGTCTCTTGCACTCCCCATGCAGGTGCTGATAAAGGTCAGCTGCACAGTCACCAAGTGAGCAGGCAAGGGCTTGGAGGAGGGAGGAGGGCAGCTGTATGAGGTACCTGGACTGGCCTCGCTTGGGGCTGCCCAGCGCCCCGTCTTTGTGCATCACCCTGTTGACAGTGAGGAGACCCTGTCTCATGAGGAGGCATGGGGAGCTGGGTGCAGTGGAGTGCTGTGGTCCCCGTGGGCTGAGTGTGGTCTGGGGAGAGGTCCCCGTGGGCTGGATGTGTTGTGGGAAGAGGTCCCCGCGGGCTGGGTGTGGTGTGGGGAAAGGTCCCTGCGGGCTGGGTGTGGTGTGGGGAGGGGTCCCTGAGAGCTGGATGTGGTGTGAGAAGAAGTCCCCGCGGGCTGGGTGTGGTGTGGGGAGATTCTAGAGGCCTCGTGTGAGCCTGAGGAGAGGGTTGAGGTGCTGTAGCCTAGGCCATGGGCAGAGCTGCTGGGGTGTGGGTCTGTCCTTAATGGCAGCTTGGCACACTGGTGAGATATGAAGTGGGCGCTGGACAAAGGAGCCCGAGTGCGAGAGGGAGCCCAAGCTTGAAATGTGAGCTTGGGGTCATCATGGGTGGACGGCACGGGGTCACTGGGAAGCGAGAGGGAAGAGGGCCGCATCCCCTGCCCCCCGGATGCGGCAGCCTGGTGGCTGAAGGACCTCGGTGACAGCGCCACTGTGGACTCTCCGGGGGGACGGGGCCTCAACGAGGCCGTCACCATGGACGCCCCGAGGGCGACGGTTGTTTTGTCTTCGCGCCACGTTAGGCACGTGGGGCCTAGTGTCCTGTGCTCTGTCCCGCGCCATCCCTTCCAAATTGAGTCTCTGCCTCCCTGACACCAGTGCCACCCACAGTTCACACGGCCTCCCCTGGAGGCTGACACCGTGACGGGCTGGCGTAACATGCACGTGTGCAGCTGTGTTTTGAGCCTGAGGAAGCATGTTCAGTTGTGTCTCTGCTAACAGGAGGTGTTGCCTGTGCTTCCACAGGAGAGCTTGATGTGTCTGCAGGCACAGCTGGAAGAAAAGCACAGGCGTGAGTTGGAAGTGCTGAAGTCCTCTCTTGAAATTCAGCATGAGGAGGAGATGACAAAGGTCAGGATGGACCTCGCGGACAAGCACCTCGCCGAGACCCAGGTGTGGAAGAGGGAGCAGTGCCTGGAGCTCGAACGGCTCCGGGCTGCACTCTCAGGAGAGCATATCCAAGGTGCGTCCCCGTGACACCCCAGCTCCTCCTGGCGCCCCTGCCCCACGTCCCTAGCCCCCAACCCCGCATTCCCTGACCCCGACCTCCTTTTCTAGCTCCAGGCCTACAGGGGGAATGTTTTGGGGAGAGGGCTTGGGCCCCTGTCACTGATTGGACTTCTCATCGGTGAGACTATTTAAAGTCACCTAAAAAAAACAAAAACCTGTTGCCATCGAGTCGATCCCAACTCAGAGTGACCCTAGGACAGAGTAGAACTGCCCCGTAGGGTTTCTAAGGAGTGACTGGTGGATTTGAACTGCCGACCTTTTGGTTAGCAGTCGAGCTGTTAACACTGGTCCACCGGGGCAGTGGTCACCTAAGGCTACCATTAAGGAGCCCTGGTGGCACGATGGTTAAGTGCTTGGCTATTAGCCGAAAGGTTGGCAGTTTAAATCTCTACACGAGAGAAAGACCTGGCAATCTGCTCTCATAAAGATTACAGCCTAAGAAACCCTATGGGGCAGTTCTGCCCTGTCCTGTAGGGTTGCTATGAGTTGGAATCGACTTGAGAGCACACAGCAACAACAAGGCTGCTGTTGCTGGGGGTGTCATGGTGTGCGCCTGCGGTGACTGTCCTCCCGCCTTCCTGCAGAGCTCACACGGATGCGTCTCCAGCATACGCAGGATGTGGCCTCAGAGGTGGAAACGGAGGTGGTGGCGAGAGTCTTGGGCCTGGAAAATGAATACAAGGTTAAGTTCTCGCTTCTTCAGACCGAACTAAAGGAAGAAATGGAACTTTTAAAAATAGAAAATAGGAATTTACATGAAAAGTTGCAGCATGAAATCCATCTGAGAGAGGATGTGGAGAAAGTAAGTGTGACTCCTGGAGAGATGCTCTCTGCCAGGCAGGGCCGGGTGAGCCCCACTTTCATCCCTGTTGTGGTCTCACGACCCTCGCTGAGTTTGCTGACTGTATAAAGAGCAGAGCCCTGTGCTGGGCCATGTGCTGGGGCCCACCCACAACAGGGCACGTGTGAGGTATTGAGTCTTTTCCACATCTGCTCTGACTTCCCTGCACGCCCCCAATTGTAGTTGTGTACCTGAGATCAGTGTCACCGTCTGTGTAGAGCGGGTCATGTGCCATATCCTGGCCGTTGTGAATGATACATTGTGGGGACTCTGGATTCTGTTATGTTTCTCCAAAGAGTATTGATATTTTGTCTCAGCAGGCAGTTAAGTTGGGTGAATTCAGACTCCATACCCCATCTCAGTGTAACGTCGGTTTAGTTCTTTTCACCTTAGCTGGCCTGCTTTTGAAGTCCGCCCACACGTGTGTGGATCCGGGGTCAGTCTGAGATTTGGGCAAGGTTTATTCACAGAATTTGCAGCTCTTTCTCCCACTGGTTGTATCCTTATGGGGCTCTCCTCACTTTCTGGCTCCTCTGGTTCAAACAGGTAAGATTGTGGGAATTCTGTCTGCATGGCACAATGGCCTTGCCCTTGGGCTAATAGACTTTACCGGGGCACATCACCCAGTGACGTTTCTTTGAGTGTCAGACTCTCTAGGATCTGCTGCTGTAGGATGTTCTCCAGAGCCTTCAGGGAGTTTCTTGTCTTTTATCCGAGTTTATAGTTGTTCTCTTTGGGACGGTTTGTGTGATTAGAACTGCTCAGCCATTACCAAAAGCAGAACCCCAAAACTTATTTTCAATGACCTGATTTTTAGTTAAAAGGGATTGAGGTCATTCTAATGTACTTTTTTGGTTTTATTTTGCTATTGATGATGTTCAGTGATTTATTGACCTATTTACTTTCCTTTTTTGAAAATCAGGATATTCGCCTGTGTTCAGCTTTATTGCTTGTCTCCCTTTGTACAAGATACCTTCAGAATTATTTAGTTTTTCAGCCTCTTGCTCAAGTTTGTTCTGTATCCTGGAATATAAATGGTGCAAGCCAGGAGACTTGAACTCATTACACTGTTTGCTGTTCTCACCTCGCTTGCTGATGGTGCTTCTGTTCTTCCTGGTATTGTTGGCATCCCCTGGGCAGAGAAGAAGACCCCTGATGTGTCTGGTTTTCCCTGTTGCTGGTCTTGGTGACAACAACAAAGGCCGCTAGCCCCTATATTTGTTGGCTCAGCTCAGGTGTGTATGTTTTTAGTTAGCTTTTGCCAGGGGGTTCCAGGACTGCCAACTCCAGAGTTAAGAACAGTTGGTTCTAGGAGCCAGGGTGTGGGTAGCATTTTACTTAGGCAAACAGTTTTAAGTTCCTTTTAGGCTCCTTCTATAAGGAGTTCTGGTGGCGCAATGGTTAAGCGCTCAGCTACTAAGCAAACAGCTGGTGGTTCAAACCCACCAGCGGCTGTGCAGGAGAAAAGACCTGGTGATCCGCTCCCTTAAAGATTACAGCCTAGGAAACCACATGGGCAGTTCTGCCCTGTCATTAGGTCGCTGTGAAGTGGATTTGACTCGAGGGCACACAATAACAACGGGTTTCTTCTGTTCTGTCAGCAGAAGAAATGTCCCTGGTGCTCTGTCCAGCGTGATGTCCGTATGCTGAGGGAGTCTCCCTGTCTTCACTGGTGGAGTGGAGTCATTGCTGCGAGTACCCTTTCCTTTTAATCTTTTTAAATACAATTATGTTGTCTGCAGGCAAAATGTAATTCACTTGAAGAACACCAGGAAGAAGTAAGGAAAACTAAGGAGAAGGTTCAGCTAATGAGACAAGAATTCAAGGAGAAAGAAGAAGAGTGGGAAGTTACACGAGAAGACCTAAAGAGAAAAGCTGAAGAAAAGTTGACACTGATGCTCCTCCAACTGAGAGAAAAAACTGAGTCGGAGAAGCAGGCGATAATAGATAGGTTTGAGCTTCGAGAGACTGAAATGAGGCAGCTTCAGGGCGAGCAGGCGGCCCAGATCCAGGAGCTGGCCAGGTCTCTGGCGGAACAGCAGGGCCGCCTGAAGCAGCTGGAGCTCGGGGCGGCCGGGGATGAGCCTCCACAGTGCAGCCAGTGCGGCCCTGTGGCTGAGGCCTGGCAGCGCACCACGCTTCGCCTGAAGGAGGACTGTGCCCTCCAGCTGATGCTGGCCCAGAACAGGTGGGTGGTGACTTGGGCCACGGGCTTCCGGGAGCCCCCGGGAGCCTCCAGAAGCCCAGGAGAAGGGGTGAGATAACCCTTGGGGAGGTCGTGCTGTGAAGGGCTGGGAGGAGGGGAACAGGGTGCGGTGTGTGGACTTCTTCCCCCTGAGATCCTGACAGGAGTGAGCTCCGTGCCCAGATGCTGAGAGAGGCTGCGGTGTTCGAGTGCTTCCCGGAGTCCTTTTCCTTCACGGTGCTGAGTGCAGGCATCTTTATACCTTTCTATTTCTTTTTGTGTTTTAGAATGTCAGTAGAAGAGCCTTAAACCTCATTTATGAGGTATCAGAAGGACATGCACTTTACCAACATGACTGTTTTTAAAACTTAAACATATTTTTTAAAGTGAACATTCTTTTTTTCTGCAACATATGCTTACTTCCCTGAGGATATGCATACCTCTCTGAAGTTGTAAGTAGATTAGAACACGGTTTGGTTTTTCGCCTCTTTTGTTGCTGACTGTTTAACACAAACCTCAGACATGGGCCGTGGTAGCCGGCAGTGTCCTTGGGTCTTGGAGCCACTGAACCTGCGGGTCGTTGTCTTCCCACATTTGCCCTGACCCTTGCCTCTCCCCCATCATCACCGATGACGCTTTTGAGCTTCTATTGTGGGCTCAGAGGACTGGAGTTCAAATCCAGACCTCGTCTTAGCTGAGTTAACGTGAGCGAGATGCGTAGCCTCACTAAACCTTAGCTCTCTCACTTGTGAGCAAGGTACTAGAATCGCAAAGGGTCGTAGTCCACATAAAATGCTTTTATAGTATCTGGCGGAGAGTTCACACGTTAAAAAAAACTCAGGTGTTACCTGTGTGAGCGCTAAAGAGAAAGCCAGTAATGTCTAACGTGTGCCAGGGAGGGACCGCGGCCACAATTCCAGCGTTGCCTCAGTCCTGGTGTTCCCTCACCTCTGATGGTGTTTCAGGTGCTGTAACTGAAAGCCCGTCTTCCAGTCTGTTCCCTGTTCTTGCCGTCCAGTGCCGCGAGCAGCTCTCTTTAATTCAGGAGCTTTAAATCACAACACAGACCTTTTTTCTCAGATCTTTTAAATAATCTTGTGGCACTTTGGGCTCCCACGAGTAAAATTGCCATGCCTTTCCTGGTTAAGCGCGAAGATGGCTTTGTTTCCTCTTGGTGTAGTGGCTGGGCCAGCGGGATGTTCAGCCCGTGGTGGGAAGCGGTGCGTCTGCGTTGCCGTCTCTGCAGGCGACGTGGAAGCGGATTTCTCTACAGGTGTCATTCACGTCAGTCCGTGACCCCGCGACGCCTGTGGCTCTGGCCTGTGGCCTCGGCTCTCTGGCTTCTTGTGGCCCTTCATCCTCCCATATATTTCTGGTGATGAGATCTTGAACAATTTTGTGGTAGCGGGAGAAAGAGTGAAACAGTTAAATCAAGGAATGATGATTTTAGCAGTGGAATAATCTTTCCTGTAGGAAGTGTGGTTGTGTGTTTCAGAGTGAGGCTTGGTGCTTCTGTGAGGGCACATTTGCTGTCTGTTCACTTTGGGTATCGTCTCAGGTTTTTGGAAGAACGTAAAGAGATGATGGAGAAGTTTGCTGCAGAGCATGACGCCGCCCTGCAGGTGCTCCAGGAGAAGCACGTGGGCGAGCTCCAGCTCCTCCAGGACAGCCACCGGCAGCACGTCGTGTCCCTGACGACCGAGCTGCAGGCCGAGCACCAGGCCGAGATGGGTGCACTGAGGACCACGCTGCAGAGTGAGCAGCGGGTGCTTTTGGAGACCCATGCGGCCGAGCTGCAGACCAGACAGGCCGAAGAACTCAGCACCCTGGAGGCGAAGCATCTGTCAAACCTGGACTCCTTGGAATCCTGCTACCTGTCTGCCATCCAGATGCTCCGGGATGAGCACAGGCAGGCTCTGCAGCAGCTGAGCGTGGACCTTGAGGAGCAGCTGCGGAAGAAGGATGCCCTTCACCAGGTGGTTCTGACCCAGGAGCTAGAGCAACTGAAGCTGAAGCATGAAGGAGAGCTTCAGGGCACAAAGGACAGCCTGAGGATTGAAATGAGCACGAAGCACATTGAGAGCCTCAAAGCCATGGCCGCCGAGCTTCAGCGTGCACATCAGGTGAGGCCCCGCCCTGGGGGCTCCTTGCCGGGCCCTCCCTGGCCCCCGATACGTGTGCATCTGTGTGTCTGCATGTGTGTGTCTATCACCTGTATGTGTGTGTGCGCCTGTGATGGGCAGGAACCAGGTGAGCATGATGGGGGTGAACCAGGTAGGTGTGACGAGCATGAACGGGATGTAATGTGGTGGGCGTGATCTGGGTGCCTGTGATAGGTGTGAAACCGGTGAGAGGGGTGTGCCACTGAATGACAGCTGCTGGTGTTTGGGGCTGCGGAAGGTGCGTGGCTGGGCGTGTTCAGTCATGCGCTGGTGCTAGAATGATCTAGTGCTGGTAATACAAGTTTAGAAACTGCTTTCTGGTGAGTTAGGACTTTGTCAAGTATTAAGAAGTGCATGTCCAAATTAAAAATTAAGAAGTCTCAGGCTTGGATCAACAGCAGTACCAGGAGGAAATGGAATTTGCTCCTCCTCTACGTCTCTTCCTCACCATTCCGAAGAGTTTCGTGAGTGATGCGCCTGGTGGGTGTCTGCCCTTCGCGGGTTCTGGGTGGTGAGGTAGTCAGCTCCATGTGTCACTTTGTGTTCACCTCGGTTCAGTCCTGTGTAAGAACATAAGAAAGAGGCAGCTTTGCTATAGTAGGAAGGAAGGATGGCTTCATGTCACACTTCAGCTCTACCTATTGTATGTAACTTTCCAATGTGGGTAGTCTGAGGTTGTAATCTTGGCGGAAATGCCTAGAAAGCAAATTGTTCAGGCTCTGCCCACCTTGATCCCAAACCTGGAGCGGAGGAGAAGGTCACCTGTTGGGAACCTTTGGGTTGGGTCTTGTTCTCCAAAGCCATTGAGTGTTGATGGTAGAGTTGCTGTGTCCTGTCTCCCCTCGTGTCACTCCACTTGCCGGAAACGTGAGAAACCCCGCTGAAGCCGAGATGGTGTGCCAGCCAGCCCTGCCTCCTGGAGCCACGGGTCTTACACATGTGTTTCCTGGGTCATTGACTTCTTTCCCTTTCGTTCCAGTCTGGAGAGCAGAGAACAGAAAATGCTGTAGAGTAAAACTTGTTCCCAACCTGCAGCTACAAGTTAGCCTTGCTATCTTTCTTTGGTTTAAAGTAAATGAACTAAAAGAAGGTGGAAACTGAAGGCAGAAACAGCACGTGCACACGTAAAAACTGTGTATTTTAAGTCACGCGGTTGTGTGCCGTCCAGTTGATTCAGACTCGTAGTGACCCTGTAGAGCAGAACTGCCACATAGGTTTTCCTAAGCTGCAATCTTTATGGGAGCGGATTGCCAGGTCTTTTCTCCTGCGCTACTGCTGATGGGTTCAAACCGCTGACCTTTTGGTTAGCAGCCCAGCGCTTAACCATTGCACCACCAGAGCTCCATCTTAAGCCATAGCTTAGTTCTAGTAGTGGCAGAACTTAATACCAGGAAGTGTATGGAATGTTTAGCACCTTGCAGATATGGTGGTGAGGATTGTGTGATGCTGAACCACACTGTGCGTGGCGGATGTGTGGGATGTGTGAGGAGTGTGAGGAGTGTGAGGTGAACTGCGGTGTGAGTGGCGGATGTGTGAGGAGTGTGTGGGGTGAACTGCGGTTGGTGTGAGTGTTGGATGTGTGAGGAGTATGAGGTGAACTGCAGTTGGTGTGAGTGGTGGATGTGTGAGGAGTGTGTGGGGTGAACTGCGGTGTGTGTGGCGGATGTGTGGGGTGAGCCACAGTGTGAGTGGCGGATATGTGAGGAGTGTGTGGGGTGAACTGC